TTAATTAGACTTGGCGTCATCGGACATTTTCAATAACATCTGGTACGCTTGAAGAGTCAACAATGTCCGCCAAAAGACTGGCGCAAAACATTGTCACCCCAACGATATCACATACTCCGCGAGAAGGGAACCGAAATCAGAGGGACTGGACAGTACAATGGACAGTGCAATGAACACAAAGAGACCGGTTAGTAATGATAAATAGGTTTATGATGGAAGAGCTATGACGATGTTGTAATCTGTCATATCGGTAGTTTTACAAACATAGGGCAAGCCCCTTATAACATTTACATATTAATATGGAGTTTTTTTCTGTAGATCGCTTACCGATCATTACCGATCATTTTACAATAGTATTAATATTAAACGTATAATCTTCAAATCGATAAGGCGCACCAATACTCGGGGGAGAGCGAAACAAATATTGACCTTGGGATTTAGCCTTTTTCCAGCTTATCTCTACTTCGGTTAATCCGCTGTGACAATTGGTGACCTTTAAGTTGGGTTTAAACGCTCACGATGCTGGCGTACGCCTTCTCTGGATTTATAATTAACCTCGAGTAAATACGTCCATCTCTCTCGGTGGGATTATGTCGAAAGCCTATAGGTTGGGAAACTATTTTAACAATTGCGCTATCTGAATTAATTATAAATCTTTATTGTCAAGGGACGATAAAATCGAGGACAAGGTCGATTCTATCAAACACCGATCAAGAAAGCGTTTTCAAGCTTTATCGGTGCTCCACAATATAGATCCGAGAATACAAATATAAGTTCGGATAATTATGTTTATTTGATTTAATAATATTAAGGAATATAGTATCAGATTCAAGATCGAATCATTCAACCGAAGACACCGTTTGCTAAGGAAATTACGACTGCTTATATATCTATTTCGAGTTCTGCGCTGTTCTATATATACTCTAATACATGAGAAAATTCCTCACGGCGGTAGCTCGTTTGATATTACCATGAACACGTACTATTCGATTTCTAAATGAATGCGACCAATTCCCAACATATTGAGATACGTTTTCTGACAAAGCGGCATGTTGCGATCTCAGTAGTAAAACGTTTGCGTATTAGTACGTGTTTTCTTTTTAAGACGTCGACTGGCAGTTATTTCTCCACCGTTCATTGCTTTCAGCTGGGCCATTAAAAATACATCTTGTTCGGATCTAGAGAGAGCTTGAAATCCTTTACGTAACTCAGCAAACTTTTCTCTTGGAACGTTTTTGAGCAACCATCCCAAGAACTGCTGGCCTTTTTATATTCATTAAAATTATAATTTTCCATATACGGGTATTCCTATATATAGTTTTTTATAGCTTTACCATTTTTTACGATAGTATTAGCAGCATACTTCACGCTATATATGCGATGTTAATTGATTTGGTTGCCCAGCTTATGTAAATTAAAAAATCGTTTTTAATAGTGTCGAACAGTAAGTTGAAAATAAAATACATTCTATAATTTCTGCTCTGAAAAATTTGTTCCGTCAGATTCCGTACGGAAACTATGTATATATATATATATGCTAGAAGACAGGTTCCGCTAAGAGTGGCCTCGGTTGTGAGTTTGCTCCAAGTCAATATTGAAATCTGGCTGATTCGTTTTATTCACACGTTGTTAATTAGACCGGTTAGCCCGAATTGACGTCAATCGTAGATATGGTATTAAAAGAAGCAAGAATCACGCGGCAATAGCATTACAATCGAATTTCGAGTTGGACACAGTCTCAATAAACTGTATATCCTTCTGCTTCATAGATCAAATAGGGGATCGTTCGCATAAAATAATGCTGCGTAACAGAAAAGAGAATAAAAATAGGGAAATCATTGTCAGTAATAAGCCTTTTCAAATCATATCTGAACTAATTTCTTCATACCAATAGGGTTGGTAGAAACATCGACGTATTAAAAAGCCTTTTGTATTGGAGAAATAATTCGAACAGGAAACGTTCGCGATGAAAAAATAAGTTAACGAAATCTTCCGCATTCTGTAATAATAATGTTCTTTTCGGTAACTGTAATATATGCCTTGTCACCGATCTTTAATTACTGAAGTTATTAATATAGTACTGTATATTAATTTACTTTATATTCTGACTACTTTTTTTATTCAGTTCACCAATACTAATAAAGCTCCTCCTTTCTTGTCTATGTCTTACTAGCTATTACAATAAAACTGTCATCCATTTATTGGTTATCACACACAATATATAAAAAGTACGATTTAGGTATCGGTATAAGCCAGCTAAAGACTGAAAAAAGATGATATCCCAAAGTATAATTATTACAGAAAGATATATAATATATAAAATTATGCTTTGGAGTATCAGCAGATATGATAACGATTCGGCACTACGTGCCTCATCCTTGATCGATACTCGAATGCATTATAATAGCTAGCAATTCAGCACTACGTGCCTCATTCTCGGACGATACTCGAGTGCATTATAATAGCTAGCAATTCGGCACTACGTGCCTCATCCTTGATCGGTATTCGAATGCATCATATAAAGATCATGGATACTATTTCGGCACTATGTGCCTCAACTCTGGTCCTCATAGAGGAATTAACCAGAAAGCTAAGGGCACTACGTGCCCAGTTCGGGTATAGCCCTCACATCGGGCCCGCAAATGACGACACGCGACTGAATGCACCGTTAGCATATTTTTTTTGCCCATGTGAGCTAATGACGGAAATTGGCCACGATTACTAAACCGGCATACATTATATCGCATGTGGCCTAATACACAAAATACGCTATCTTTGTGCGTGTCGTAAAAAGTCACTCGAGCGTGTCCTAAAATGCAAAACTCACGTCATACTGGCGCATGTCTCAGCAGTTCTCAATCGGCGATACAAATGTAATCTATATAGCACCCGACATATAGACTATAACTATCCCATCTTGGTGTTGTAAAAAGCAAATGCACGTCACTCGAGTGTGTCATAAAAAGCAAAACGCACGTCATTCTCGGGTGGGTTATAGTCCATACTAAGTGGTATAATTGTAGTCTAATTAGACTACAATTATACCACTACTGCCATCCTTTAGTCATCCACAAAGCATATTATTCAGTTTATGTGTTTGTCTTAAAAACGGCCTGCCTTCAGTTTAATTAGTGTATGTAGTGTTTAGCATCTAGGAGAGCTTGCTGAGAGTGTAGCATTTATCATCTAGAAACCAATAGCAGTGATCTCAGAAATAAAGCTGCTTATCTAAAACCAAAAAAGTAAAAGGAGAGATTGAACTTTACAGAAACCTGTAGTTTTTATAAATCTCTCTGTGACATCAGAATAAGAATCTCGTGACAAGATTGCCAGGATACTAATAGAAATTTAGCAATTTGTTGGTGACATCACGATGAGATGTTTGCAATATTTTCTGATTGTAAATGTCACATGGTTAACATCCTGCAAATCTCATCGAGACTGTTGCGGTCGGTGTATTCTTTGGGTGGGAGAGCCAATGATCTGTCGCGTAGGTGTGTTCACCGACAGGGGGATGTTACCAAATTTAACTCAGATCGCTACCCTTACTAATAGCGTTTGTCTTTACGACTGAATCAAATTTATAAGCGACTATAATTAATTATGCGCGCTTAACTAACTCCTAAACGAAGTAAAACTATACTCGTTTCTAAGTAAGGGGAACCTATAACAATATCGTTACAACTACAATATTGCCACAGAATCGAAGGGGAATAATTTATATTTAATTTAAACAGGGCGGACTTCGATTTAGCGTTTTGACTAGTCAGGTATCTCGTCACTTCTAATTTAAAACGATAACTAATTAAACGAATAAACGGGAGAATCTCAATTGAATATCAATACGACTCGCGTGCACTCTTTAATCAGGTGTATCTTGCTCAACGGGTATATCGCTAACCGAAGTATCTGCGAATAGCCTGTAAGCGAACTATCTCAGACGTCAACCCGGCAAGTATCAATATTCAACGTTGATTTATAGAAAGATAATAAAATATGGATAGTATATGATTAAGTATCAAAAGGAATTCGCAATATTTTTATTTCCTTGGATAAGAACAAATCCGTGGATTATTATATTGATTATTTTCAAACAATGTATCGAACCGAACAACAAACTAACAACATGAGGTTTTGATGATGAGAGAAGCGCTACTTATATAAGACTTCTGTCACCAAAATCAGTGACCGGAAATTGCTATATCTAACTCTTGTTTATATTTTGTACTGTCACCAGTTTCAGTGACTGAGAATTACTAAGTTTAGCTATTGTTTATATCTTGTGCTGTCACCAATTTCCGTGACTGAAAATTACTACAATTGAACTCTAGTGTGACAGTGCTAAAATTAAATCGCTGCGGGTAGTAGAATAGTTTCCCGACCTATAGGCTTTCGATATAATCCACCGAGAGAAATAGACGTATTTACTCGAGGTTGATTAGAAATCCAGAGAAAGCGTACGCAAGAATCGAACCTAGCATCGTGAGCGTTTAAACCCAGCATAAAGGTCACCAATTGTCATTAGCGGATTTACCGAAGTAGAGATAATCAAGGATCTCGTTGGAAAAAGGCTAAATCCCAAGGTCAATATTCGTTCCGCTCTCCCCCGAGTATTGGCTCGACACCCCCATATAAGGTCTACAATAAGGGTTCCTCGATAGATCACGCGACATGAACAAATACACATTGTAAATAGTGGATTTTGCATACAATCGCCGCCCGAAAAGCGTTATTCACATGTGCAACCAGTGACTTGTTTAATGGAATAATTAAATTCTTCTCATCTACGATTTGATGAGATGTACACATTAAAATACAATTGCAACCGGGAAACGCCTTTCAAACGTGCCCATTTAATGAGTTATGAAAGAGAATATTATATATTATACGATTACAAATAATCAGTGTTCGAATGAGAGCTAATGCAAATAAACAATAATAAATCGGCAATAATTGATATTTCAACAAGCCGATAATCTACCGTCATTAGTTAAACTATACTAATCGTCCTTTGACTTGGTTAGCGCTTCCACGGACAGTTCCATTCCGGCAGCATTTAATCGTTCAACCAGTACGTGACCAAATGCCGTGGATGGCGTCATAATACCTCCTTTACCAGGTATACGCTGACGATCATACACAAGTGCTAGAGCACATTCGCTAACCATTTTGGCGGTCTCACCATACCCGGGATCTGAAAGGTAGTGAAACAAGCATTAATTGCAAGACGTAAGCCATCTTAACCACGTGAAATTCTAGCAATATACCTTTGAATCCCTTCACTTTTGCCATTGCTTTCAATGGCTTTTCGTAAGGCTTTGGAAAAGAATTTTAGATGAGAGTGATTTGGTTGATGGAACCACTATACTTTTTATTTAAACTTACCTCAATGCACGCTTCTCCAATGAATTGGCATTCAAATCCTCCTTTCTCAATTTGTTCTTTGGTTGGACCACTTCCTGGTTGTAGTGCATATTTCTGTAGTATCCACCGCAAGGGAGGTATAAACAAGGCCATACTTACAAATGACCAGCTGATTGTCGCCAGTAAGGCTGTTATGATATTACGGTATGAAAAGTACTCGCTGGGAAAATAACGGTTTATCAAATTATTAGCCATCTAACAAACTCAAGGTTTTAATAACAAAGTAATGTAATGTCTCTTACCGATAAGAAAAAAATTTCCCATATGAATGGCCTGCAATCGACTTGAGCCCGTATGAGCGTTGAACCAGCCTTTCATTACTCGCTGCAAGAAAGTGTGGTCCTTGCCATTTTCCAAAGTCAGAGTCGTAACATAATGGAAGAGAAAAACCTTGCTGACCGGTAACTACAAATAGCAAGTGATGTCAAGTAAATACTAATTCATGTCTGATGTCAAAAGTTATCGAATCGACTTGGTTTACCTGGCGATAAAAAGTATGGATCTGTGAACATCTCAATAGCAGACCAAGGTTGTTCTAGCACAGCAAATGTACTCTGGATGGTGCCACCACTGATTCCACCTTTAAGCCATTTTACCGTACCCTTTACTTCTCCAGTATCCCTGTCCCACTTTTGCTTGATGAAATCAACGACCATAAGAGTGCCAATGTCACTTGGAACACTGTCAAATCCACAACTGGGAACCAAGATCGTACCGCAACTTTCTGCTGTCATATGGAATTGTTCAATAATCTTTTTGATCCATGGTGTTTCCCCAGTAATGTCGACATAATCGGTTTTATTCTGAACACAAGCTTCTACGACAGGAGTTCCGTACTTTGTGTATGGACCAACGGTTGTGATTACAACTTTTGCATCTCTGACAATGTCGTGTAGAGAAGATTTATCATTTACGTCGGCCGTAACTACATCAATGTTTGAAGAATTCGGGCTGATATCAACGAGACGTTTCTTTAGTGTTTCGAGTTTCGCGAGAGATCTTCCTGCCAAGGACCACCTCATGCCCTTTCATAGCGTATCAATTTGGAAGGATGCAGAAGAAATGTATTGTTGTTTATGAAGTTTACATAAAATGAATTCGCGCAAGTAATGCAAGTAATAAGGTTAATTGGAAGTTGATTTATCGTCGCCACGCATATTATCATAAAACTAGTATTTACTTGCGGTCCATAGAGGGCGAGATATTCAGCCACTTCTTTCCCAGTGAAACCAGTCGCGCCGAATAATACTATGTCAAACTTTCGGCTATCTCGTGGTTTCAACATTACGAAAGTTTTTTTTGAATATAAGCTACATGGCGATAAGAGAACAGTCTTTTATATGCGTTATGACACATTTTCAAGCGAAAGTCTCGTGACAAGACCTACAAAACGGGCTAACTATGGTTTTTTGTTGGCTTTCGTGGGTGGGTTATCAATTATAAAAAAGCCTTCCAAATTTGGGTTGCAATTACCGCACACTGCTGATCTGGCATGTGATTTTATTAAGGGTTTCCGGAGTAGGTTTAAAGTTGAGTGCCTGAATATGGCAATATCAGTAAAAGAATGAGAATCTTTTTTTTTCCTTTGATTTTCAGCTTCTTACTATAGTGATAGTCCGCCGCCCTATTCGATTACACGGTTTCGGTTACCTTTAGCTTAATCGCTGCTTCTTATTTTGTTGTGCCAGTTAATAACGGAGAGCATATGAATTAAACCCAGCCTTGAGATTTATATTTGTTTTCCTATTATTGGACTATTACTATAATAATGCTTGTTAGTAGTTAATAACAAACGTATTATAAATTGTTTTCTTTTTTCGCGTCTGCTAAATCTTTATATTAATATCATACCAACTCCCTCAAATTGTCCGGCTGCTTTTTTACAATTGTATAAAGACAAAGGATATGTAGGGCTAATAAGTATAAACTACATCAATTACAAATTGCTAGTTATTTGCGGAAAGTGTCTTGTACAACATATCAACACAGGACAACAAAAAATTCGTATTTTGATCTTTTTCACATGCTTTACGCGATGTAACGCCCAGGCCCGAAACGACAACCATAAGACAACTTATACCAGATTAATCTGGTTCTCTGTGGCCAAATTTCGACATTTAATAATAAGCATGTATCGCCAAAGAGTTGTCGGAATCCAAGTAATAAATATTACATAAATAGGTCGTCTCGATATACAAGTCTTTTGGTTTAAATTTTCTATTGTTATTATATACTATAAACTTTATATCATTTTTATCCAATTAATATTAATTGTACCTTTAAGGTTTATAGCACTAGAGCGTTCTATATTTTTTGAATTAAAATTTTGTTGTTACAGCAATAATTTGTAGGTAATAATTTGTAAGTTTTGTAGTTTTTTCCTTGCTGATACAAGAGATAATGAACTACAATAGAGTAAAATATAAAATGCATGCTGTATAAAACAACAATAGGGAGCAACAAGCGTTAGCGAAATATTTAAAAGCTTCTTTTTTTTTTAAAAAAAAATTTTTTTATCGAAATAATAGTTGTCGAATACAGTCGACCCTCTCTATATCGGTAACAATGCAACTTTTGTTAAAATGTGCATATAAAGAGGCTGTAACCGTATAAAGTTTTTTTTCTACAAGTTTACTAGCAAGTGGTTCTTAAACATGGTGTACTTATAAATATAAAGAGGTTTTTATATAATATGCTTATAAAGGGGGTAACAATAAAGGTTGACTGTACCACACTTATACTATAGCAATATATGGACAAAATTATACCAGAAACGCGTTGTAAATTAACTTACTCATTGAATTCGCCAAAGCACAAGATGCTTTACGATAACGACGTCAACTGACACTTCAGGTATAAATTTCAAATACTGACTTTACAATACATGAAGTGGTGGCTAGTACTAGAGACATACAAAATCTAACCATTTACAGTCATATCCCCACTTTGGGATCCAGAATTTTTCTGAGGTGGGATACAACTGAGGTATAGCATTTCAATAGATAATATTGTGTTTAATTTTATTGGTTAATAAATTCCATTAGTGACGTCTGACGTTTTGACATTTCTACTGCTTCATCTAAGCGCTTAATTATATATACTTAATACTGTACATTTATTTCTAAGTAATGTATAGTATCGCCTAGTTTTTATTTATCGCCTGATTTATGACCCGATTTGATTTATGGCCTGATTTTTATTGCGTCGTCGCCTAACCAAATGAAGCAAATGATCGACTTATCTCGCACAAATATATTAATATATTAATATATAGAAATGGCATAATTTTTTGTGCGTAACGGGATATAAACGAGATTAGATAACTATAAAATTGGGAAATTGGGGATTGTGAAAGTTGGGGATAGGGATATATCTGAGTGGGATACTATTTATATGGAATTGGAATAGGGGAAATTCGTCCGGCGTTGCATAACTGAAGGGAATATAGCTGAGATATGACTGTACCATTAACAGAATAACAAAGCATATCTGCAAATCACTTGGATTATCTATTTGATAATGAGTGATAATATACATAATACAGCATTACACTGAAAATAATTTGATTGAATATCTAATTTTATAATGTTTTAATTGTTTGGCAACTAAATGTAAACAATATTTAAATAAAACTTACTGCATCTGTGTAGATTTGACTAATCAAGAAGGTAATCTGTTGCCATGTTATAAACCACTCTTATTAAGTCGACGCCACAAGTTAAAAACAGGACTGACGATTCTAATTGAATCAAAAGTTTATTTACAAGATGAGTAAAAGTTTAAAGTATTACATACATACTAATACATACACTCAAACTCTAGCATTAATGGACCAGTGTATGAAAGTAGCTGGTTTCTACTGAATAATTGCATCAAACTAGAATTATTGAGAGATGTCTTTACAGAGCCCAAACATCGAGTTTAAAACAAATAATCTACTCCCTTTTGTTAACCACTATCTGTTTTCAAAATAGTGTCAGCCACATGTATCTAACATATTTTTATTATATATAATTTTTACAAATGTTTTTAGTTGCTTTCCGTAGAAAGCTTTTTACCTGGATTACTCAGTCTTTGTGCGAGTGCTCAAATACTGACTTTGTAATGTTCATAAACTCGGCATCAATTTCGAAAGAAGTCGCTCCTTCAGATTCCGGTACGCTTTCTGGCGTAAGCATACCCATTAGCAAGTCTTGTATTTGAGCAGCTTTACCTGGTGGCGGCGATTCAGGAACCGGACATACAGTAAGACATCTATCAATAATCTGTAGACGGCCAGTATCGTCTAGTTCTGCAAGTCGATTTATCGCAGCGGCGAAGATGTTTAGTGGTTTACTGGAAAGAGAAGCCACAACTATATCTTTTACTACGTCTTGCCACGCCTCTTCGAATGATAACCCTGCAGCCATCTTCGGCCCTACTCTAGGGTTAAGGTATTTAGCAAGAGTGGCTGACAACGTGGGAGCTACGGGAGCGACCCTTCTTCCTTTCATCTTTTGGGCAGTACAGCGGAAAATAGGTGCTTCCAACCCTGATTGATTAGGTTATTAGATTTTGTAAATAAACTAACTATCCAATTAAAGCTGTGTTTGCAACAATTATCTGGTGTGCTACACACAAACAGCCGCACTGCAGGGGTTACACTTCAATTATGGCCCGTAATATGCAGGTGTAACCAGTAAGAGCTGGAAAAGGCAGAAAAGCGGGTTGGTAGGGGGCTGAGAAAAATCGTAGAGCAAGTTAAAGGATGAGCAATGCCTTACGAAAAAGTCAATAGTGCAATTTATAGTCGCGATATGCACCCTCCGTTGGACATTTATCAACAGATTTGCTCAAAGAAAACAATAGTATAAATTATGTTTGTGGATCGAATAGGTACTAGTATAAAATAAGATGGTGTAACAGTCGTACAGATCAAAAAGTGCCCCCAGCATAAACTGTATATCCGGCATGTAAGATTAGAGTAAAATATTCATTCAGTTGTCGCGAAAATTAAGAAACGAGTCGTAATCATAACCGGGTCTTGTATAAAACAAAAACAAAAATAAAATTTACCAAAAATAAACACGGCAAACAACGTACTATCAGTGGGTTTAGACCAAAGAGGGCTGCCACACTGCCCGGAAAAGGCATAAAATAGCCTGTTTTCTTGCTATAATTGGGGTCTATGTTGACGACACATATCCTATTACAAGCTATAAAAAAAAAGGTAAATGTCGTTTGCTTTATTTGACAAGTTTAATTAGAGTGCTTAGGGGGATGACAAGCTGTTGAACGATAATAGCGATAGTGTGTGTAAAGCACCAAAATGTGTTTCATAGATTTGTTTGTTTCCCAAAATATCATCAATAAACGTTGTATGCAGACAAGTCTCGCCTTATGGTCGACCGCTTATATATTAACTACCAACAGCTTTAATATAGCATTAAGCGTTAGACTACAGAAGCAAATAACAGCGTTAAGTTTGTTGCAACTATGATTGTTCTCATAGTTACTTAAGCCGCCTTTTGCACAAGATTAGTAAATAATCGATCATCGCTTTTATATTTGTTTGCACAAAAAAGGGACGATTACTCGCATCCTCTGGTATCAACATGCGAGAAGACCAAATTTTGCTGGCGCGTTTATCTTTTTGTGCTCGCAGGATTACTTCGACAATCTGAAAGATTGAAAGTAATGGAATGGGGGGAAAGGACAGATTTAAATACACAGCACAAAATTCTTATTCAAGATTGTTTTAATTTTGCAATTTCATATTTAATTTTTCTTGTTCCGACTGTCAATACTATGAATAGCTTCCACCAATGACATGGCGTTTCTTTGTCTTTAATTTTTGACAGTTGATTCCAACATTTTGTCGTTATTTGAAGGTGACGCTGATAGAGAGCAAGCGTATAATAGAAAAAAAATTTTAACTGACAACAGTGAACCTTTATTGATGGTAGAGTAATTATTAGTTAATTTATAACAACTTCATTTACAACAGACTTGTCCAAGTGAATGGCTTTAATTTATTGAATACTATTCAACGTTATATAGCACTTTATATATATATTTGTTAATCCAAAATTATTCTTAAGAGCGAACTAGTTCCAGAAAAATGCTTCGATACAAGCCCATCTATGTTCAAGTGAGATTTTGGTAAAGTGGATTTTACTGTTTCGTATAATATTCCAGTTGGTAATCGCTTTTAACATGCTTTCGCGATCAGCAAGGTTATTAGTTTTAAATATATATCAAATATATAAAACCAACGAAAATTAGGGTCTCGTTATTTGCCCGACA